TGCCTCTGAACCTTGACAAGTGCATGTTTCAGGCTTATCAATGAACAACAGGAGGGGTCACAGACATAAGACCAGCTGTTAAATAAAGCTCTTCTGACCTTAGGTGTCATGTGGGTATATTATTTCACCCATTTGTTAATTATATGTTTTAAATTTGATAACTCCACTGTGTTTCGTATCCCCTATACCTCCAGGGTGTACACAGTTTAATACTGGCAACTTCTAATTGTGGGAAATACGAAAACGTCTTATAAAGAGACGTGCCATAGAACATTTTGCGAAACACACAATAGCCAGCATGTGTAGTTCTGAGGGGGGGACTGGTGGACCCGGGGGCTCGACCCGTCCAATTCCAGTTTTGGATAGTCTGCCGTGGTTACATTCCATTTCATAGAGCTGTTTGACGCTCAGCGTAACCTTGTCGCACCATCCAATCACAGGGTTCGATGACTAATCAAGGGGTTTGTAAAGCAAGGCGGATGTTGTAGTCCCAAACCATAGCTGGGGATTCTGGGTAGTGTAGTGTCTTCGGAAACTGTAGTTTCTAAACTCCGAAAAAACTATTTGTTTATCTGAATCGAAGGTTAAAAACACAAAAGCATTGTACACAATTTAAACCAATCAATATTGTGTAATCAACAAGGATAAACTGATGTTTTTTGTGGATGAGTAATGCAGATATCACTGTGTGATCATTTGAAAGTGAGGGGAATATATCCGGTTTTATTATGAAAACTTCGGAAAAACTGTTTTCACCCATACTTTACATGGAAGCTGCATACACGTTATCCTGTCGAGACCTCAAATCATCTTCGTAATATCTATCAAACTCTAAGAGTACAATATACACTTCTTGCCAGAAATCGAATCAAAAAGCATTTTAATGGCCAAACTATTCCACAATTTTGGATTTTCCAGAGAGGGTTATTTGTGAATAAACGTCCCTCCGGAGCGTTTGCAATGAACGGGCCGGGAGCATGTTGTTTCTTACATGACCACAAGAGCACCTCTAGTGGTCGTGTAAGAAACAACATACACTTTAAAACGTGTCTCTGGGTCGTAATAAGGACATGAACAATCGGCCTATATGGTCGTTTTTTGTAGGAGGACAGGCTGGAAAATCAATAAAGTCCAAGATTTTAAAGGCAGCCCTCTTTTCTCAATATAAACTCAAAAGTGAACTGCTTTATCAAAATGAAAATTGATTTATTTCAAAAACTTGTGTTGGTCATCTTCAGGCTTTTGTTTGATTTACAAATATAAAGTCTTGGCTTTCACAGTAACTTTTATCAGCACATTCAGGCAGTGAATACTTGTTTAAGCTTGTAAACACAGGATGAAAACTTCAGCAATTGTCCGCTTTCGAAAATGTAATGCCAGACATAGACTGTAAATGACTGATAGTTCAGTTGGGTCTGCGCAAGGGGGTTTTCATCTGCTCTTAAATAAAAACAAAGTCTTGGCTTTCAGAATATTAAACCCCAAATTCAGATGAAACCTAAAACGCTTAAAAAATGCTTGATAAAATGTGTGTATTGTGTTTGTGTTTTTACAAAAATAGATTATAATGAGGCTTTCTTAATCTCATAAATTCATGGGATTTATATCGTGAAAAAAACAGATGAATGTGAGTGTTTATGCATAGTTCAGTATTATGTGTCGCACACATTTAATAGATTATACAATTGTTGTACTTGAATGTCTGCTTGCAATTATTTCCCTAAACTAGATTAAGTTAGTAGATATGTTACCACTGTCCAGTTGAGGACAGCCATAAAGCTGAACCTCAGTGGAGTTTATCACCCCTGCTATAACTGGAATTAATTTCAGCTTGTTTGGACACACAGTCAGTGAGTTTGAAGGGGTCGGTTGGAGCAACAATTCTTCAACCAGTCTGTCAGTCGTGCACGATGAGTCTGAACATCCCAGGACTCGTGGTGATGGTGCTCTTCTACCTGCTGGTGCTGGGCACCGGCATTTGGGCATCCATGAAGTCCAATCGACTGAAGAAGAGCAGCCAGGCGGACATTACAGTGATCACTCTGCTGGGGAACAGAGGGATCAGCCTGGTGGTGGGAATCTTCACCATGACAGGTGAGTGTGGGGGGTTACAAATAAAGTATTCAAATAAGTAGTTTGATGACATCTAGATGCATTTTAAATAAATAAAATCTATCAATTTGATCATGAATTTATGCAATTAAAAAAAAGTATGGACAGTCTATTATGTCCCACCAGTGTTGAAAAAAGTATTCAGATATTTACTTATACCTTATCATTTAATTGTTAAACTATATTTTGCGATAATAATCTAAATTGGCAAAGTAACTAAAGTTCTCAAATGTATGTAGTGAAAAGTATAAATATTGGTATAATATTGGCTTCCAAAATGTTGTGGAGGAGCTCAAGGAAGGTACTCAAGACTGTAATGTAAACCTTCAGGGTGATTTGTATGTTTCATTCGACTGACCTTTCTGGAAGTGTGTGTGTGTGTGTGTGTGTGTGTGTGTGTGTGTGTGTGTGTGTGTGTGTGTGTGTGTGGGTGTGTGTGTGTGTTTGTGTGTGTGTGTGTGTGTGTGTGTGTGTGTGTGTGTGTGTGTGTGTGTGTGTGTGTGTGTGTGTGTGTGTGTGTGTGTGTTTCCAACAGCTACATTTGTTGGAGGGGGCTTTCTCGTTGGTCTTACAGAGGTAGTGTACACTCCAACCATGGGGCTGACCTGGGCAGTCATACCAGTAACAGCAGCCCTCTCTTTCATTGTTGGTAAGAAATAAAAATGGCAATAAGTCACATGAAGTAAACCCGCATTGACCATATTGCTATACAAAAGCTGTGTGTCATCCACATTACAGTGGAAGGAAATGTTTAAATTATTTGGCCCAAGGAAGCATGTATAGAACAAAATGGGGTCTCGAAAGTGACACCTCAGGAAATCATCAGCCCTCGCTTTCATTGTTGGTAGGACATAATAATGTCAACAAGTTACATCAATGCAAGTCACATTTATTTTCAAAGCACATTTGAAAACAACCTACATTGACCATATTACTGTTCAGTCCAATAAATGCGCAAATGAACAACGCATAGTTATGATCCCAATCCGCCACATCAGGACATTACAACACACAATAGTAAAAATATGTTTTTCAGTCAAGATATAAAACGGTCAATGAAGTGGTGCTGTTTCACAATCTAGGAGTCTATTGCAATGCAGTTGAAATGCAATGGTAAATCAGTTAAGAACAAATTACACAGATCTGTTTCACTTTTGTGGTTCAACGTTAAGGTGGACTTTTCTTTGCCAAGCCGATGAGAGACAAAAAATATGTGACAATGATGGACCCGTTCCAGATCAAGTATGGAAATGTAATAAGTGGAGTTCTGACCATTGTACTGCTGATATGTGACATACTATGGGTTACAGGAACTCTTATTGGTTTAGGTAAGTCAAACAGTTTACATTAAAAGTCCCATTTTGCAAAAATAACTATTTGTAATTCCTACAATTACTTGACTATTGCACCATGACAAAACATACATTAATTCTAGTAAATGACTATTATGATGTTGGTTTAATCTCGCTACCAACAAACTGACAAGCCATGGTGTTATGCACCAGCGTAACTTATAACTGATAAGGAATGCATTATATTTGCATATGAGTCTGCCTGTATGTAATTGTGTTACCTTTATAGGTGCAACAATGAGTGTGGTGTTGGATTTGGACTATACCGTTTGCATTTGGATCTCTGCCGCAGTAGCCATCATTTACACACTGCTGGGAGGCCTCTACTCTGTAGCCTACACAGACATCATACAGCTTACCCTCATATTCCTCAGTTTAGTGAGTTCTTCGCTTGAAGTTCTTCAAAAGCTTTTTATGAGGCAAATCGAATAAATAAAAAATAGACAAAGATCCTTCATGACAAAACAAGATAAGAACATAAAAAGGTAGTACAATAAAAAAGGTAATAACGTGAAAAGGAAGCATGTCAACAATGTAGGAATGAGAGCCATTTACAGATTTAAACAATTTGCATTACAGTAACTAGTCTACTGGAAATAAATGCCAGCTTTTCAGAACCTTTGACAGGAAGCATGTTTTAGGCCAGCTTACTTCATCAAGTCATGTACGTTTTAACATTTTTAAATCAGTGGCTGATTTTCTTTTTCTGTAGTGGCTATGTGTCCCATTTATCCTGATGAGTCCTCATTCAACTGACATCACCAAGACTGCTTTAAACTTCACCTACCAGGCCCCCTGGATTGGTTCAGTGGATAAAGACAGAGCGTGGAGGTGGATTGATAATTTCTTATTATTGGTAAGGAATACATTTTGACAGGTAGTAAGTAGTAAAAGAATAAGCGTAAAAACTAGAATGAATGATGGATAGATAGATATATTTTTCTTTATTATTATATTATTATTAAAGGTGAAACAATACAAGATTATTATATGCAAATAAAGGCAACATTTGTTTTAAAAGTGGCCAGTTTGTAGACTGGTAAATGAATTATTGCCATAGTGGGCATGACCTAAGTCACATTTTTATCCCAAAAATAGTAATACCAATACAGTTTATCTGACATACAGTATTGGGAATGAGGACAGTATTGTTAAAACAGGTTTTACTTCTGTTTTCCGAGACTTTTGTTAGCCTTGGGTATCAGATCTTCCACCAGAGGACCCTGTCAGCCGCCTCCTCAACCACAGCCAGGGTAGCTTGCTTCGCTGCGGCACTCCTAGTCATTATTCTGGGAATCCCATCCTGTCTTATTGGAGCAGTCGCAGCATCAACAGGTACAGCAAAAAATAGAAAACATATTGCCTACTGTTGATCTAGTTGATAGAGGAACCCCATTTTTCTTTCTTTTTGGTGTCTATATACGCCGGGATCCGGAGTCAAGTATGATCCTGTTGCTGCGGTCCTGTGTCCTGGATCGCGAGCCCTGGATCTTGAGTCGTGGCTGTGCCTATTGCTGTGGTCCTGGATCATGAGTCCTGGATGGATATCTTCGTGGATTCATCTTCCTATTATACACACATGCATCTCCAAACATTTGGACTACCTATGTTGCAAATGTATTATCTTTTCAATTTGCACACGGCATCTATTGCACGTCTGTCCGTCCTGGGAGAGGGATCCCTCCTCTGTTGCTCTCCCTGAGGTTTCTCCCATTTTTCCCTTTAAACTGTGGGTTTTCTCCGGAAGTTTTTCCTTGTACGATGTGAGGGTCTAAGAACAGAGGGTGTCGTATTGTCATACTGATATTCTGTACAAACTGTGAAGTCCACTGAGACAAATGTAACATTTGTGATTTTGGGCTATATAAATAAACATTGATTGATTGATATGGCTGACTAGTTAATGTGTTGGCCATATGAACGGCAACTAGTTAAAGTGGACCTATCATGCTATATTTGAATAATATGTGACCTGCTCTATCGAAATCAGTCGCATTGACCCGAAGACACATTTTGAGTTGTATACACTGTTGGAAAGAGGAGATTCCTAGCTTTCTAATGATATCAGGATTGTTTTTGTACTCCAAATATTAAGCGAAATATGTCACATTATATAATGACTAAAGTAACCAATCTCCACACACACACACACTACACACACCACACACCACAAACAACACACACAACACACACAACACGCACCCCAACCACTGGAACACATCTGACCACGTCTACACCAGCGTCAATACCATACCCACAAACACACACTTGATGTACTAGTAGGCTAGGTCCTAATAGAATGGACATACCGAAGTTCTTTTGTATTGAGATGTGCTCTTACGTAGGATTCCATAAGAGACTTCGTACCTATATGTGTTATGTATTAACGCGGTTAGACGTGGTCGTTGGGGCGTGTTTGGTGTGGATGTATTGACCGCGGTAGACGTGGTCGTGTGTGTGTGGTGGTGTGTGTGTTGTGTGTGTGTGGTTGTGTGTGTGTGTGGTTGTGTGTGTGTGGTGTGTGTGTGGTGTGTGGCGGTGTTGTGTGTGTTGTCCCACTTATTAAAGACGTTAAACGTTTAGCTTGACTACACTGTCGAATAAGAACCAGTTAAAGACGGAAATAGAAGTGGATGTTACGTAAAAGAACTGATACCTCTAGAGTCATAGTGGTTTCTAACCCGAGGAGTAAACAACCTATACTGTGGAATTACCAAAAAGATGTTACAAACCAGGTTTAATTGCGCACAAATTGTAAACTGGGTTCTGTGACCCGGTAGAAGCCGTAAACTGGAAAGGCTAGGAGTTGTCCAGTTGACTGAGGGGAGGTGTAACTTTATTTGAATACATACGTGATTGATCAATTTTTACAGTACGAAGTAGTTATTTGTGCTAACTATGTTTTTCTTGACAACGAAAAGAGTATTTACGTGTTACAACCACGAAGTACACGACGCACGATCTTTGACTAC